GCTTTGTGCTTAACTTGAAACAGACAAACCAAAAGAAATTGTATGGAAAAAAGGTAGTTAATCGGCGACCAACTCTCAACTAGGTATCAATCGATTACAATGAGTTTCTCTCCCATTTGTGGAAAATAATTTCCTGGACAGTCTTTAAGCACTTTGTTTTTGTTTTATTTCTTTGACAACGTCATTATGGGTGTCAGTAACTTGAGTAAAGTACTTTAATCGGAAAAAAAGATTGACGTATGATTATTAATGGTTATTTTGCAGCCTGTAACCCCAAGGTTCACTCCAGTTGTCTACTGAATGATACCTCATAACAAATACAAAATAAAGAAGAAGCAACAAGCTAGATATAACTTGGTTTGATTTATGCTAAAATACGAATTGAAGGTCTCAAATCCTACCTCTACGTTAACCAGCAGTTTGGTCTTTACATTGTTTGAGGGGCTCAGATCCTACCTCTACGTTAACCAACAGTTTGGTCTTTACATTATTTGAGGGGCTCAGATCCTACCTCTACGTTAACCAGCAGTTTGGTCTTTACATTGTTTGAGGGGCTCAGTTCCTACCTCTAGGTTAACCAGCAGTTTGGTCTTTACATTATTTGAGGGGCTCAGATCCTACTTCTACGTTAACCAGCAGTTTGGTCTTTACATTGTTTGAGGGGCTCAGATCCTACCTCTACGTTAACCAGCAGTTTGATCTTTACATTGTTTGAGGGGCTCAGATCCTACCTCTACGTTAACCAGCAGTTTGGTCTTTACATTGTACTCTACCATGTCCTCCGGTGTGTCAAAAGTAATTTACGGCTTCCAACGCTAAAATCCGGGGTTCGAATCCCCGCGGTGGAAAGAGCTCAGGCAAATAACTTTCACCCAGAAAAAGAAACATGTTATAACAGAATATAAATGATATTAATACAAAACTGAACCAAAGTAAGGTGAGATTTTCTCAAAGAACAACAAACAAACAAAATAACTTTACCACATATCATTTATTTAACAAAAACATGTCAGAGACGTTTCAGTAAATTTCAAACCATCGTGCCTGAAAGATTTCATTTTTCCATCAATTTTGTGTTCCGAATTTTCCCCAGATGTGATAAAATGTTTCACAACAATGCACCACAATCAGAATAATAAGGACAGATGTTTGAGAAGGTGAACCATATAAAACGTGTTTCTTATTAGGGTTTCTTTAACTGTCATGTAAACGAAGGCAGTTTGAAACGAACGTTGTTTTAAGTATTTCCTGTTTGAACAACCTCCTGTCCTGTGCGAGAAGCAATGTATTTATCTTCGTGTCTGTGTTTATACGCCCAAGATATCTTGAAATCGTTTACATGTGTGTGTAGGAGGGGGGGGGCTTAAAACTTTTCTCGCATTTTACTATATATTGCATATTGAACCACGAACCCCTGAATTCATGGCTAAGTTACGTAAGAGTTCTTATTTCTTCAGTATAAAGTCACAAACTTTCAAGTTTAGTTGATAAATAATATTATTATTCCCTTTCAAGAAATATGAACCGTTTTTTGTTTTACTTTTATTGCGTGTGGATATTATTTCAATAAACGTCTAATCTCACAGTTTATAAAGCAATGTTTTTGATTCATCAGCTTAACGGTTCCGTTGAATATTGGTTATAAGACCCCACAGACGTTACATGGTGTTACAATTTAACGATGTATAGACGTATTTCACTAAATATGATACTGCGCAGAATAGAAAACATCAACACATCCACTTCAAATATGCCACGTTGTCACTAATCTCGAAGCTTTGGATTGATTAACAATGTAAAATAAAGTAGAATTTCATGCTGGAGAGTTTTCGGATTGGGCAATATGAGAAGAATCAATTTATAATGCAGGATTAAGGAAGGTAAGCGTAGCTATCTATTAAAGGTAATTTCATGAGGTCACGTGACGTAGAACTGTATGTATGTATGTATGTATATATATGTGTGTCTATCCATTTAACACGGTTTATACCGTCTGACGAAGGGCTTCTGCCCGAAGCGTTTCAAGTAATAATACAAAAGTTTTTGTTATAGACGTGTGTTTTAACATTTTTCGTTATTTTTCCACATCTTGTGGTCTTTTCTACTGTGTGTGTGTGTGTGTGTCTTATGCAGAAGATTTTCATCCAGATATCAAATATATCGTTCATCAACAATTATTACCCGAAAATAACGATAGTAAAATAACATTATAATCGATAGAAAATTATTTTGATGTAATTTACAAAATACGCATGCAGAGTATAAGTTGTTAAGCCTATATAGTCACGTTTTTAATATTTTCTTTCATCTATTTCTCATGTGCGAAAAAATCAGAGGTTTCGGTTTTTTACATTTCTCTGATAATGGGGGGAAAAAATAGTAACTTAATGTATTGAAAATTACTGAAGATTTCTATCATTCCAAACATTGAAAATCAGTAATCACGTTCTAAATATATTGATAGACAAATAACTTTCACCCAGAAAAAAGAAACATGTCATAATAGAATATAAATAATAATAATACAAAACTGAACCAAAGTAGGGTGAGATTTTCTCAAAGAACAATGACATTTTATTTTACGATATCAATCAGCAGTCATTAAACAGGTAATTAACAACTACAACATATTACAGAAACACAGGTTCCGGCCACCTCGGTACTGTGAGTTTTATGCACTAAAAGCGATTCAATTCAACTGGATGTATACCATAATACGTGTCTTACATAGATAACATTTCGGTAAAACATTTCACTTGAGAATTACAATAAAGATAGTAGCTATTATATAATCAGTGTAGTGTTTAGTAGGTTACGATCTTCTAAGTCTTGTTATTAATTTAAAAATAAATATATATATATAATTAAGTAGCAATAATATTTATATATTTCATTTAAATACTAAAAAAGGCTTGTACTTTCCATCACTTAAAAATGTTGATGATGTAGTTTTTCTTTGTTTATTTCAATTTATTAAATAAAAGAAATATCGTAAGACCGCAACATCATCAATATATTTATTCATTATAAATAGGAAAAAATAGCACCTTATTGAACCTAAACAGTTAGAAAACAAATCTCTAAATCTTTCTTAGCCGAAGTCACAGATATTGAACGTCTGGAACGGTTTTATCCTTGTTTTACTTAGAAGTTCAGATTCTATCTTTAACTCTCAGATGTTTTCCTTCACAAAAGTTTGTAATGACAGTTACATGTCACTTCATTCCCCAAGGAAGGGAGGGGGTACTGAATTCGACACTTTTTGAAGATTTTCGTCGCGCTTTACCACAACCTAACCCCTTGTTTATAGAATCATTGATACTTAGTTTGTTCTCACCTTAGGAGCGCTTTTAAGACTCTTTCTACTTCACGTACTGTGCTTTTGAAATGGCGTTATTGAATCCACAGTCCACGCTCTTTATCATCTTAAAAGTAAAGGATCGGTGAAAAGAGAATGCATGAAATAGTTTGTCAAAAAAAAACAATGTGACCACAGAATCTCCATTCCAGTATATTTTTCATTGCATATGAAGAAGCATTCTCACAACTGAGTATTTAAAAATCGGGTAAGGAAATGTGAAAAAAACTGAGATGTAGAAGGATTAACAAAATCAGCATATCCTCGAAAATATGATCCACTTACCATTAATCAATTATTTGACGTCGCGTGGGGTGGAACATCCAGAGCCACTTTCCTTCCAGGTTCCATATAACTTTATTTAGATATACAAAATATTATGCTCATTTGAATATAAGATGCTTCCTAATCTTCATTTTAGAATATATATCATACTTCACTGCTAAATACTGATGCAGCATTAAAAAATCCTGTCTAGAGTTAATTCTGCTACAAGTGTGAAAGCCACTGCTTATTTCGTCGAAGTTTTATCGTTATGATACAATGAAGCTTAGCATCTACCACAGGGAGCTTGTTATCAATATGATCAACAAGTATCCTTTGCTCGTGATAATTACAATTGAATAGACTACCCTAATCCAAAAAAAAATAAAAATAAAACCATTACACCACACTAAAAATTTTAACGGGGAAAAAATAAGAAAAATAAATCAATATTTTGACATTATGATTCCATTCAGCTTAACGTTTAAAGTAAATATTCAGCTGAGACGATAAAGGCGGTTCCATGACTCATTAAATCAAACCTGCTAGAGAAGGACAGCTTTAGCCATCAACTCCATGGTCATTAAGAAGGATTGCCATGTAAGAATTTCTTTGCCAGCGAGCACACAAAGGATTTCATTGTCTAAACATTATGAAAGAAAAACGAAGTGATTAGATATTAAAGTATTGTTTTAGGTGAAGTATTTCGTGAGGTAATTAGGATTTGTTCTTTATGGTTCTTGGAATAACAATTTAGCAATTTCGTGAAATATGCTGTTGCTGACTGAGAAAACTTGATACTTAAAAACGTTATACAATAGCTCTATTCAGCTTATGCTGTACCACATACAAAAGGAATTGAATCCACTGTACCATCTAAACGAGGAACAGTATCCTATGGATATAATAACAATACTTTTTTTAATTTGTATCAATCACAAATCAGAAGCTGTTTTTTCTGTATTATTTAAATCAACATAAGACTATTCATGTTTCAATTTTGTGATAAAAAATTAAGTAAGTTTTATAAACACAACGCTTTATTATACGTTTTTTTTTTGTTGTTGTTGTTGTTGTTTTATTTTGGGGATACTGTAAGAGAGATGAATGCAAATTATATCCAAATTATGTCAAATTATATCAACTACTATACTTTCCTCTACCCTCCCTGTCCCTCTCTCTTTCTTCCTTGTGTGGTTATTCATCGTAAAATAGCTCTAGTTAAGAGCTAGAAAGGTTAACAAGGAGATTTTCTGTGCTGCTGATTTGTGTCAAAAGTTTTATAATTGTGAATTCTACTGACACTTACTTGTATGCTGTACAGTTTATTTAGCCGTTCTGGATGCGTCTTGTTAACACGCCTTTTACTTCCTGGCAGGCCAAAAGCTCCAACAGCATTTCCGTGTGGAACCCCACAACCAAGAGGTGATTGAAGGACAGGAAGCTGAACTTCGATGTGAGGTAGAACAACAGGCTGGTGCTGTACAGTGGAGTAAAGATGGCTTCGTGTTGGGTAAGTGAAACATGACTGTAACGCTTGAATTGATTCGCCCTTGATATACTTTAGAAAATACACTTCTGTGTCACACTAGCATTATCAAAGTTCATTCACATTATTCTCATCACGTACTTAAACAAAATATCGGAAAGGTAGCGTTTCAATAAAAGAGAATTAGCTAGCTACAGGCTAATAACAGTAATTATTTAAACTTGTCTTCATTGTTGAGTGAAAAAACAACTTGTGTTACAAAATATATTGGTAAAAGAAAAAGGGTGATAATACAATCATTATTTTACATGAACTTGTTTGTGTCTTTTGAATTTGCGTTCTAAAATAGAAACATCATTTTGCTATTTTTATTATATATACATACATTAGTAGGCCACCTTATTGTAAGCTATACCCAATAACGGAATGTATCACATGACTGACAAACATGACACGACGTGGCCTAAATTCTATAGAGGATAGTGATGATAACAGTGTCTTTCAAGCTCATCCCACAGATGCTCAGTTGGATTGATCCAGGATTGTGGTGACCATGGGAGATGTCCGAAGTCGTGTTCATCAAACCTTTTACAGATAATTTCGGCAGATGGAAGAATTGTCGTCAGGAAACTAGCTGTTCCCATCAGAGTACACATGAAATATCGTGTTTGATGCACTTGATCAGAAATGATGCTGAAGTAATCTTTGGCCTTATTTTGCCATCTAAAGATACAAATGGCTTAGGGTATACCAGGTAAACATGCCATCACCACCAAATGCCTCTAAAAGTGGGACCACACAAGAGAAATGAGGTATTCTTATGGTTTTTCCAAAGTTGTCTTCTCCCACCTGTGCAGAGAAAAAAAAAGATTTACTGGACCACGTTACCTTCCACAAATACTTATTCGTCCTATGTCTATGCTCTTTATAACACTTAAGGCGTTTTTGCTTGCTGGTAACTCTGTCCAGTGGCTTATACATTGAACTCCTACTGCAATAGTTAATTTGTTGCGACGTTTTCGCAAAGTAAGACTGGTGATGGGTGTGATTGTCCTGCACCGCATATCTGTTAGTTGATGTATTGTTTGATGATGGTTGAACTGTATCATCCTGTCTAACCGCCTTTCTCCTTTTTCTTTCTTTGTGTATTTACAGCCACAATCCCCCCCCTTTTGCAGCAGACATTTTATTAAACTTTTCCATTGTTGATAAACTCGAATAACCCGATGTATTCTAGAAGCCTACCAATGAAACTGTCTTGGCCAATGTGGCGCCTGCTAGACGTACACCCACTGTTATGCCTCTTTTGAAAGTTGCAATATCTTTGCATTTCCCTATATCTATTACATTAACTGCAAATGCACTTGTCCCCATCATTTATAGTGCTACAGTATCACTTGACACGTCATCTGGTTAACCCAATTTGCATCTGCAGCTGAGATCAGACCCAAGTCTGAAAGGATACATAGTTCTTAATAAATTAGCCAACCGGTTATATATATAGTGTATAGATTTATAGATATGAAAGATTTTTTTTTTTGTTTGACAGTTTTTGGTTTCTCTTCGTAAGTAAGGAATAATCTATTATAATGACTAGGACGCTCTACTCGCATTCTGCAGGAATCGGGATCGAAATCCGACGTTGAACATATTCGGCCTTTCAACCGTAAGGACAATACTTCTATTCGTTGGTAAAGATTAGCCCAAAAGTTGGCAATGTATACTTGTGGCCGGTTGCCTTTCCTGTGGTCCACAGCTCAAAATTAGGGAAAGCAGTAGATAGCCTCAGTAGCTTTGCCATAAACAAAACAAACAAATAAACTTTCATATTACTTGCATTAACAGGATTGGCTAAAAAATTTTAATATATCTATTTTATAATATTTTATTATAAAAATATTTTTGCATTATTAACTTAGTACATGATTTTTAAGACTAACCTAAATCTCTTAAATTAGCAGAACCTCGTGTGATATTTTTTGGATAATAGCTGAAAACATCGCTAACAGCAAGGATACCATACTGATGAAACAATCCATCCTAATCATAATAACAATTTATGGAATTACTGGGTTGAGATTTAGCTTTGATCTAAGTTGGTAGCTTGCTTTGATCAAAAGTTAATGTTCATAAATAATCATATTTCATATTGTAATCTTATAACAGGAGTAAATCAACCATTAAGCTGCTAAATTAATTACAATATAATATTACTTTATAGACTATATAAAAATTACAAAGGTTCCAGTTAAAGCTCTTAAGATAACACGTAGTTAATGCTCTACGAAATTCATGCGAGCACAAAAGTAAGTACATTATTTAACTTCCTTGTCCTCATGTGTTTTACACTTGTTTAAACTAAATATAAGAGATATCTGTAAACTGCATGTAACAATATCTTTAAATAACGATTTAAATTGCAATGGTAGTTGTGTTTTGTTTTTGTTTGTTTTTATAAACCAGAGTTCTTTCGCCAGCCAAAGAAATGTATTATAAAACAAAGTAAAAATGACAGTTGAAGCTTAAGCGAACAAAACGACAAACACTACAAAACCATTTGAGTTCTATTAATACTTTGTTTTGTAATGTTAATGGAAATGTTGTTGGCACTTTTGTCGTTTGCTCCAAACGAACAGAAGAATTAGCTTCTCCTCAAAGTTGGCGAGTCATACTTTTTAAAACAAATAATAACTTGTTGAAAACGAGCTTATGTAAAGAACAAAAACAAAATATTGCGGCAAACCAAACACTTGATGCTCATTTGCCATTCCGATTATTTATTGAATCAATATTTTTATTTACATCGTATAACGAAGCTGGATGTCATGTTCGTTTAAAAAAAAAGAAACACCCGTTGTTGTTATTACTATACCATTTCATTTAAGTCACTTTTTACGTGATGTTTTTATACTGTCTGGCCAAAATCGCCTAATCCTAAAAAGAAAGAAATGAAATATCTTACAAACAGCTAAATTATGTTGTTTTCTTAGTGTAAAGCTTTACAATGCATTCTGTCCATTGCGGGTATCGAATACTGGATTTTAGCGTTGTAAGTGCTTAAATTTATCACCTCCACTCAACCAGGGAAGGGGGGGACAGCTAAATAAACAGAATAATAAAAAGTAGTGAAACAAAAAACTTAAAGAATTACTGCAATGTTTTCATCCAAGCTGATATTGTTCTGTAACTTCTTAGTGTATCTACTTATCCCACTTTTCGCTTTTATTTAAATAGCAACTGATATATTCTTTTAATTGTACCAAGTAGTTTTTGCATTTTTAAAAGTTAAATTATCATCATTTTTCTTCCATGAGTATACCACACAAGAAATGTAGTAGAAATTGTATTTCAACATAATCTTAGAAGGAAACGGGAGTTTAGCACAATTAAATTTTAACCTAATTTATGTAAAAACAACCTCTACTACAAAGAAGCAACGCCAGAAAGGACAAGTAGCTCTTCTGGTTTGAGTGAAGACTATTTAAAGTGATAGAACTATACAATTATAATTTTACAAATAATTTGGAGGGACAAAATGCTAATGTCATTCAGAGCATATTTTGAAAAGTATTCTATATTTATAAGCTCATTACGCTTGGATGTTGCTTGATTAATATATCATTAACACGAACCTAGTTAATATTACTCAGGACTTGTGTGGGTTTCGAAGTTCTAGTTCGTTATAGTTGAAGGTAATTTACTACTGTTACATATTTATTTCAGATTTTTGTTCGTGTATTACTGTTATTGTTCAAATAACAACATTATGAATGTTTTACGCAATTCTGTTCCACTCATCACCTTATTTACCCTACTTTTCAAAAAGAAATTTTGCGTATTTTTGTGTGACAACTTTCCCATACGATTCTAAAGCCATATATTTTGAAATTTGTCTATTTCATACTTCTGAATTTTTAAGATCCAACTTTTAAGATCAAAAGCTGCATTTCTCTTCAACTTTCAACAAAATATACCTGAAGTTTTTTCCTCAAATCAATTTTATTATCTGTGCACATCTTATGTACATATTTCATCCACCTAGCTCCACAGAATCGGGATTAATCACATGATAACTTATGTAACAAAGCGGACTTACAATACATTTTCTGACAAAGTGAAAGCTAAATTTGAACAGGTTTCAGTCCGTGCCAGTACTTGCTAAATAGGCGTTCTAAACAATTAAGTTATCGGTCTCAAGTAGTAATGATTTCCTCATTGCTATATAATGAGAAAACGGGAAGGAATTTCAAGCTATACTTGGCCTCATTTTTCATTTGGTCAAAAAGATAATTTACAGCAAAACTTTTGAAACATGTGTCACTCTAACGTATCCCCCATATTAGGCTTAAAGCTCAAAACGTATTGACAACGAAAATACCCAAATGATTACTTAATGCACTTTAACCATTACCAAGCTTAAAGATTTAAATTATTTGGGATAAAACATTGTATTTTGCTAAATTCAAACTATACAGGTTAGCCTATTATACCATAAGCTATTAATTAAACACACACACACATATATATATATATGTACACACACAAACATAGATCTTACTGTAACTCACACTAGACTTTATTAAAATTAATATATAATTTTTTCAAAATCTGCAACGTCAGGTTTGTGCATAAATTCAAACAAAAGCTACGCAACACAAATGCAGGGAAAAAAACGGATACTCTTATTATTTTTATCAACTCTTGTAGGTAAAGAGAATGAGTTATATCAAACAAACTGATAAACAATACATATTTATGTTTAAAACAACTCCGTACCTTATGTTATTGTGAAAATATAATAACTGAGTGTGTGTGAGTTTTCTTACAGCAAAGCCACATCGGACTATTTACTGTTTCCACCGAGGGGAATTGCCCCTCTGATTGAGAAACATAACAAAATAAGGCTACACAATGGGCTATCTGTGCTCTGCTCACTACGGGTATCGAAACCCGGTTTCTAGCGTTGTAAGTCCGCAGACATACCGCTGTACTACTGGGGGCGTTGCGTAGCTATAATAAATTTA